GGCAATCGCGATTAAAATGGAAATCGTATGCAGAGATGCCTCACACCGTCACAGCATCTCAAATTGCGGGTTCCCCGTCCCTGACAGGGTTCGAGGGTACCGCGCAGCGCTCACGCTTCAGCGCTCAGGCTGACGCCGCACTGTCCCTGACCTCTGACGCCGCAACCAAGTGGCGTGGCGTGGAGCGATTGAGCATCCCTCCGGATCCTGCCTCGGCGCCGGGGAGGCGTTGTTTGAGGCTAGGACGCAAGCGTCCGTCTTCTTTTCATACATTCGGGGCCCAATTCGGCGGCGCCTGTGCGCCTGTGCGGGCGGCGCGGCGCACAAGTGATAAGAGAGAGAGCAGAGTCCCCAGAAGTATGAGACAAAATGTCTCCAAACGCTATAAACCACCAGTATCGCGTGATTCGACTACTCAAGGTCTAGACACTGGTTCGTTCTCTAGACGCCGACAGCCCGGCACTCGAGTTTTCACCTCGCAGCGCAGCGCGCAGCGCGCGGTCATGTTCGCCTCGACTGATGCCCACGTCATCGCCGCAACGAGGCGGGCGTAGTCCCAGAACTGTTGCAGCGACGACTCCGCCGCGAAGACGGAGGCGTTGCTGCTCGCCTCATAAGTAGTCCTTGTGGCCCTAGCCTTGGCTCGTCTGCAGGTCTGACCACAGTAACAGACAGGACACAAACACGAGGCTAACCAGGACAAGGGCTGATCCCCCGTTCAGATGCTGATGAAAGTGTACAAGTGATGGATCGCTCCCGCGAGGCACACGAGTACCTCCGCCCCTCCCTGCACCCTGGAGTGAGAGGCGTACACACGTGATCGCACAGTGGCCGGCATGTTTTGTAATCGCTGTGGCTGCGTGGGGGTGTCTTCGTTGGGTCCCCGCGGTTGGTCCCTAAATCGCTCCCTGCGCAGTCCGGTATCGTTAGGCTAGCGTAAGGCGGGAATGCGTGATTGATTGCGCTGGTTCTGTAGGGACGCACGTGTGCAAAAATCATTATCCGACTATGTCTGATCGGCTGCTCGTCCTCCGTCCATACGGCTCGCCGAGAAAAAATCCAAGAGAGGGGTGGGAGGGCGGAGAATCCAAAAAACGGCAAAAAGAAAAACCCGCGAAATAATAATCAAACGCAGCGCCCCAGCGAAGGTCGTGGAGGGAGCGAATAGGGGTGCAAGAAGCGCGATGCTCGAGAGAGACGACCTGGACTCTCTGCTCGACAAGCACGGCGTCTCCGGCGTCTCGATTGCGGTGCTGTGCCCGGACGGCAGCGGCGACGCCTCCGTTTCCACACAGTGCGCCGGCATTGCGGATCCCAACGCCACTCCCCTCTTCGACTCGACGTTGCTGCAGATTGCATCGCTGTCAAAGCCGATTGCGTCGACGTTCGCGGCCGGCTATTTTGCCGACGCTGGCGTCTCACTCGACACGCCCGTCGCCGACGCACTCGCCGCCGCCAACTCGCCGCTCCGTCTTCGCGCCGCCAAGGGAATGCCGGCGGAGTGGGCAGAAACAGTCACGCTGCGGCAGGTATCGCGATCTTAGCCGCACCGCGCGAGCGGCGCGGCGCATCACCCAGCTCACCCCTCCTCACTGACCCCGGTCAGATGATGGACCACACTGGCCTCGGGATGCACTACGCCAACGGAGTGCCGCGGTCGGACGAGTTTCCGCCGGTGCTCGCCCTCCTGTCGGGGAGTGAGGAGGCGCCCGCGCCGTACGGGTACGCGTCGCTCGCGATGACCAAGGCGCCTGGGACGCGCTTCGGCTACTCGGGTGGTGGCTTCCTCGTGCTGCAGCACTTGATCGAGTGCCGTGAGGGACGACCCGCCGCAGAGGTGTCGTCAGCCCGCCTCGCCGGCCGCTCGGTGCCCCACCGCCAACTCGCAGCCTTCGCGCGCGAACCAGGTGATGGAGGCCTTCCTGCGCCGCTGCGGAACCGCCGTGCACCTCGGACTCACGTTCGAGCACGAGCCGCCGCCGCACAAGCACGTCGCCTGCGGCTTCTACGACGGGCAACAGCCGGTGTCTTCTCATCCTCCCTCTCCACCCCTCCCTCTCTCCACCCCTCCCTCTCACCCCCCTTCCCTTATCTCGCACCGGCCAGGTGCCTGGCGGGCGCAAGTCCTTCCCGCCCTTTGCCGCCGGCGCCCTCGGGTCGGCCGCAGGGCTTGCCGACTGGCTGCGCGTACTCGCGCTTGCCTACCATCGGCCAGAGGGTTGCGGCGCCAGCTCGCACGTGGCGGCGGCGTGACTCTCACGGCAGCTGTCCTCAGTGCTGTCTGGACCCTCCTGCAGGCGCCATCTCGCACGCGGCGGCGCGCGCCGTGCTCACGCCCTCCGCCGCGGGCGACCTCGGCTCGGATGCCTTTATGGGTGCGGCGATGGGCGTCGGGATGTTCGTCTTCGACTCCCATGGCGCCGACGGACGCACGTCGCGCTGGATGCTGCACCAGGCGGCGAACGATGGTTTCCGCGGTGTGCTGCTCGTCTGCTTCGATGGGCCGGACGCCGCAGAGGGTCCGCGAGGCTTTGTCATCCTCGCCAACGGCGACAACGCCGCCGTCAATCTCGTGTCGGCGGTGGCGCGTCGGCTGCTCTGCGCGCCGCGCGGCCCCTTTGCGCGTGTGGCGCTCGACTGGTCGCGTGTGCCCGACCCAGACGTGCCCTATCTTTCGCGCGCAAGCAGCCAGGAAGAGATTGTCAATCTCGGCCTCAAGGAGCAGGTGCTCAATGCGTTTGTCAAGCCCGCGGCAGGGCCAGTGCTACTGCCACTACCGGACGTGCCGCCGACCAAGAGCGCTCACGACGTCGATCAGGGGGGGGCCTAGCCACCACTCCCATCCATCGCCCACAGCTCTCGTTGGCACGCCGGCCAACGAACCAGAAGCCCGAGTTTTCTATTCACACCATATTCCCGGTTGCCGACATGTCGGTGTTCGTCGGTCGTGTTTTGTGCCAGAGCGTGTATTTCGATCGCCTTGGCCTTGAGAGGAGTATAGTTTAGAGATGATTTACTCGCACCGGTATCTTTGTTGTTAAATGATAGAAAGTGCGCGAGCGAGGAAATACCCCGCCGCGCGCGTCCATCCAGAGGGCGAACACACGACCACCTTTTCCACACAGGCGACTGCCAGGGCCGCAGGGGGGGCCGGGGGGGGGGGGGGGGGGGGCTTTTCTTTCTTGGGGGGGATGCCCCCGCAGCTCTCGCGAATCTCCCTCTTAACCCACCTGTAACATCTCTATAAGGGATCCCTAGTCGGAGAGATCGTCACTCAACTGACTTAGAGGCCCTCCATGCGGCTGCCTTCCCGGGATCGGGACATGTGCATGCACATGACATGTACATGTGTCATGTGATGAGGGCGCGTGACAACCCAGCGCCGACTACCCGGCAGCCAGGGCGCTACGAGTAGTTTCCGATTGGACAATGGAGAAGACGACAATGGCAGACTCTGACGACAGGCTGTTCTACCTCCGCGACCTTGCCGAGATCGAGCCGCCTCGCGATAAATACGACCTGTGCGCCGCGCCACTTGCCAACACCCAGCTTTCGGTACCTGCACAATGCTCGCCAGAGCACACGGGCGGCACGAGTAGCAGCGATAGGTGTGGCATGGTGCCAGTACAGCGAATTGGCACTCCAGGTACGATGCAGAGGACATCTACAAGGCCGTTCCGCCGCCCGCCTGGGCTGGCCTCGCGGAGGAGATCTGGGTGCGTATCCACGCAATGCACACTCCACCCTGCAGTCTCAGTGAATGGCCACGCCGTCCGCCTCCATGTGTGTGCGTCCACTTGGCTCATTCTACCGTGTACCATCGCCGCCGCGTTTGGCGTCCGTCGTGCATACGCGATGCGACGGCCTGTCAGCGGAATACCACACGCTGCCTCCGCAGGTGCCTCGCCCCACAGAAGGTGACCCAGCAGTTGAGCGGATGCGCGCCCTCATCCGACGGAACGCAGTGGCAAAGCGGGACGCAGCGGCATCGAGGAGCCCAGGCGATAGGCAAATTCCGATGGGGCGCGACGAGAGATCCACGCTCCTCTCGCGCGCGAAGGTTGGCGTGAAAAGCCGAGACAGGCGCGGTAGCAACAAGCCGCGGCGTGGTGCAGGCAAGAGCGGGGTGTGGGGGTCAAAGAGCTACAAGGGGGCGGCGACGCGGCTGTTGAACCACCCGTACTTTGAGGTGAGCATTTTGTTCCTCACCATCTGGGCCCTGTTTGCCGAGGATGTGCGCCTCGCAGCATTCTCGCGCCCCACCTCGGAGCAAGCCGATGTCGGCTTTTGGGGAGCAAGGCGAGGCTCGAGCCTCCGGCCCTCGACCTTCTAGCCCTTGAGCACATCGTGCCCCGCCACAGCCTGTGTATCCTAGCCCCTCTCGAGCTGCCCACGGGCTCTCACCCCGCACACTAGCTCACGAGCCATACTCTTCCTCTTGGTCCACCCTCAGCCTCACCGCCCTCCCCCACGCCCCAGTCTGCTCGTCGCAGCTGTATTTGCCGCCGAGGTGCTCGTGCGCTCCGCCGTGCAGGATGCCTACATCCGTTCCTTCTACTTTTGGCTCGATGTCGTCGCCGCGGGCGCCATGGTCCCCGATTGCATGCCGCTCTTCCTCGACACGGGGGAGGCGTCTGGCACCGACGCCTCGGCCGCCGCGCGTGCCGGACGCATTGCGCGCGCCGGCACAAAGGTCGGGCGGCTGCTGCGGCTGCTGCGGGTGGTGCGGGTGATCCGGTTGCTCTTCACCTCTTCCGGGAGGTCCGACGGAGTGGCTATGTACAACCCGTCACAGCTGGGGCGCGAGCTCAAAGTGAGGCTGCGTCTAGTCGTGCAATCTTCCACTCCTCCTCCACCCGTAGGGCCCAGCTGACCCCCCGCCGCCTCACCACCGCGACCCATGCTACTCATGCATGCACCAGCTCTCAATCCCTTCGCACCCGGCCGCAGAGCCGTATCGCAAAGACGACGGTCCTTTTCATCCTGCTGCTGCTCTGTGGCGACGCGCTGCTCAAGGCCATCTTTGAGCGGCCAACGACAGACGCGACCATCGAGGTTGCCCTCGCCCAGCTATATCTCTCGTCCCGGGACGCCTACGCTTCGGGCGGCAATGGCTTTGACTTTCAGCGCATCTTCCTGCCGGCCTTTCTCGCCATGTTTGAGCGTGGCTTCCCGTTCGTCGGCGCCGCAAACGTGCTCGTGCGCCTCCGTATCTTTGGTCAAACATTTTACGCCCCGCCCCATGCCGTCGACATGCCGCCTCTCGCCTCATGCACGCAAGATGCGCGCGGTGAGCCGATCGGCCCGTACGCAGGCCCTGTTTGTAGGGCGCTTGACGGCGCCGAGTATGGCGCGGCCGGCAACGGGCCCGCAACTGCGGTTGCGCGGTTGATGGACTGGCAGGAGGGTGGCATGTTTCCTGCATCCACCCCTTGCTCCGACTCCGGCTGCTACCCATTCTCCTTCGATGCCGGCGACTATCCTGGCTGGCTTGACCTCGCTCGGTCGGACTCGGCCACGCAGCACCGACCGCTGCCCGCGAAGGCCTTCCCGCCGCCGTACGAGGACGCCTCGCCGTTCTACCCGCTGTGCAGCGACTACTCCGTCTTCCAGGACCCAACAGCCTCCTACAAATACTGCCCGTGGAGCGTCTACCACCTCCGTGTGGACGAAATGTTCCCGGTGCTGCTCTATGCCGATGGTACGACGAACTCCGTCTCGGAGGGCTTCAACGCGGCGCTGGAAAGCAACATTCAATCGATCTCAAGCAACAATAAGACGGTCGTGGCCGAGCTGTGGTACACGAAGCGGCCCCTCAGGAGCGTCGAGGCCGTCCTGTCGGTCCTGTTCACGCTCGTCGTCTGTGCCGTCCTGGGCGCCGTTTCCTTCCTGCTTTCGCGCGACGCTGAACAGGCGTCATCCTACACGCTCCTCGCCTCCGCTGTGTGGCCACCTCCCCGCCCGACCGCACGGAACGCAGCCGAACCGCGCATATTCTTACGCATTGCACCCTTCTTCGCCCTCGCCGCCACTGCCAGTCCTCTGCTGCCAGATGGTGATCCAGCCGATCGAAAAGATGGTGGACGCGGTGACCCGGCTAGCAGCCAATCCGGCCTACAAGCTTGAGGCGGTGCAGGAGGTCCGGGACGAGACGGACGCACTCTATGCCTCACTTATCAAGATAGCGTCGCTACTCCAAGTCGGGTTCGGCGAGGTCAGCAGTAGCCGTCGCCGGCGCAACGTTTTCCCGGCGCCCTCTCTGCTGATTTCTTGGACTTTCCCGCAGGCGGGGAACAATCTCGTCGCAGAAAACTTGAAGAAGGGGGTGACTGCCACTCTCCTCTCCCCTCCCTGTCCCCGGTTTAATCCATAAACGCCCACAGCGTGTCCCATCAGGACACGGTCGACCCGATGGTGCCTGGCCGTGTGGTCAAGGGCGCCTTTGCCTTCTGCATCATCGACAACTACGAGGAGGTAGTCTTGAGCGCTTCGGTGAAGAGGAGCTCGCCGCACGCTGTCCAAACGCGGTCCGTGCTACCTTAACCAGGTGCTCGAGTGCCTGGGCGAGGAGATCCTCCCCTTTACCAACACCGCGGCCGAGATTGTTCACGGGCACGTCGTCGCTCATGGAGGTCAGGCCAATCGCAACCTCGGCGAGGCTTTCCTCTGCGTGTGGAAGCCGAGCCTCGACGGGCTGGTTGAGGGCGCTGACTACGAGGTGGAGGCGGCACCCGAACGGCTCTCAGACCTCCCCCCACTTGGGAGTGCCGCGGCACAGGCTGCCGACACGAGGATGTGCGACGGTGCCCTCACGGCGATCCGCAACGCGGTCCGCAGCGTGCAGTCTTCGGCCAAGCTGCAGGCATACAACGGGCACGCGGCGATCATCCGCGCCTTTGACCGCTGCTACAGCACGAAGATCGGGTATGGCCTACACTTTGGGTGGGCCATTGAAGGGGCAGTCGGCACCAACATCAAGATTGACTGCTCGTACCTGTCGCCCAACGTCAACCTCGCGGCGCGTCTAGAGCAAAAGGCCGTGCAGCGTCGCAATGAATGTCCACATGCCTGCGACTGCGAATAGGCGCGCCTCGAGTCGGCGACGAAGATGTACGGCGTGGCCGTTCTTCTCTCCGAGCACTTTGTCGCCAAGCTCTCGCCCTCAGTGCGGCGAGGCGCACGCCGCATCTGTTGCGCACAGGCAAAGTGTGCAACCTGGCGACAGTCACTTTCGCCGCACCTAGGCCTGCGCCGCGTGGACGTTGTATGTCTCAAGGGCTCATCCATTCCCATGGCGATATACACCGACGACCGCTCCAACGCCCTCCACTGCTCGCGCGAGGCGGTCATGCGGCTGGGCGAGGGGGCGGTGGTGGCCGAGTTTCAGCGCCGCTTTGGCAAGGCGCGCCAGGAAAGTAGAAGCAGCTGCACTCCAGCACGTAGCCGCTCGGTCCAAGACTCCACCAAGCAGGGTGGACGTGAGCATGCGTTCGTGCGGTTGAGTTGCGCAGCTTCTCGCCGCAGGGTCTGGACGGCTTTGTCGCTGGCGACTGGGGCGCGGCGCGGCGCCATTTGGAGGTGCGGCGGGCATCCCTCCCTGACTCTCTTGGGGGCAGGGTTGCCGCTCGAGACGTTCTCACCGCCACCCTTTCAACATCTGCGCGCAGGTGGCGCTCGATATTTGCCCGCACGACATGCCCTCCCACAGGCTGATGAGGCACATGGACAGCGAGGCAAACTCGCCTGACCTCGGCCTGGCAACGAAGCCGTTTGTGGCGCCAAGCGGCTGGCTGGGCCACCACAAATTACTGTCCAAGTGAGGCGCGTCGTTGATGTTGTTGTCGCCGCCCGTGTTCACGTGTTCGCACTGGGGGCCATCGGTTCGCGCCACGCGAGCCTTGGCCCTAGCTAGTACATCATGCGTCCGAACCACAGCGTGTCCCTCCTTTTCGCACTCCCCAAGTCCTGGTCTCGTGAGGGATCCCTACTGACGTAGTCGCCCGTGTTTCCCGACCGAGTCAGAGTAAAAGAAAGTTCGAAGCGCCCGCCGATGGTCTCGTCTCAGCGCGTCAGTATGCCGACGACGGGCAATTGCCGATCTCTCCTGGCGCTCGTCGCTCTGGTGGGGCTCAGGGAGGCAGATTGTGCGGCGGTGCGCAAGACCTGTCGCGAGGCGAGACAGAACCTGCACAACGTGCACGCCGTGGTCAATGACCACACTTGGTGCTACCAGATCCCGACGCAGGTGCCGCCCACCGTTATGTCGGGGAGAGGGTGTGAGATGAGAGATCCCGATGGTGCCGGTGGTGCGTAGGTTTGCAACCAGTTCTACGTGCCGTACCGCAACTCTCACACCGCCGGGCTCATCGTCTGTCATCTGGTCATCTCCATCACTGGTGACCGCGCCTGCCACGCCGAGCAGCACATCGAGGATTGCGAGCCACCGGCGGACGTGGCGGAGGGGCCGGAACCACTCGACGCTTGTGAAACGATGGAGACCTTTCGCAAGGACATCCATCTCTCGGGACCGCATACATTGCATTGCAACCGCCTTGCTCCTCACGGTGGCGGCTCCTCCTCCCCTTGCCTCCTCGCCCTCTCACTCACCCTTTCCACTTACCACGCCTCTCTCGCTCTCGCTCTCTTACAGCGTTAGGTAAGGCATACCGCCCTCGTACCACACGCCCTACCCGACTGTCTCGCCCGAGACCGCTCCACCGATCCCCCGCCGCCACGCCGTCTCGCTGCCTTCTCCCTTTCAGCTTCGTGCCTCGCATTTCCGGAAGCCACGTTTCCGGAATCCCCCACCTACCCACCCACCCACCCCACACAGAATGCGAGCACTGGTACGAGTACTACAACCACCGCTTCCATCCGTGCAAGTACTACTGGGAACTCGATCGGTGCGACACCGATTCGCCCGTCACATGCGTCGAGCCGCCGCCGCCACGGGCGCCGCCGCCACCTCCAAGCCCACCGTGGCCGCCGATGCCACCTCCGGATCCACCCCTGCCACCGCCGCCACCAGCAGCGCGCGCACCACTCGACAGCGCGTTCGCGGGAGGCGTCGGGGTGGCGGACGCCAGCCGGTTCATCCGCGTCAACGGGTACGACCTGGAGGTGGACGATGCAAAATCGTTCCGGTATGTGGGCTGCAACTTGCCGATGCTCCTGCAAGACGCGGCGCGCGAGGCACCCGACGCGCAGGGGACGTACCCAACCGTGGACGCGCTGCTGGACGACGTCGCGGCACTCGGCATCAAGGCACTTGCGCGTCCGCCCCCGCCGATGCGTGAGCATTGTGGCTGTCCAATATGCCACACGTTCCCCGAACTGCCGCGCCGCGCCTCGAGGAGCGTTGTCCGCGCCCAAGCCCTGCGCTGACCCGATTCCTCGGTACCCACGCAGGTGGTGCGGACGTGGGCCTTCAACGACGGCGACTCTATAACCGTGCCGCTGCAGTACGACGGCGAGCATTTTGACGAGACCGTCTTTCGCGTGCTCGACTACATTGTGCGTGGCGTCAGCCGCCCTCCCGCTAAAATTCGCACCCGTGCCACACTCTCTCGCGCTCGTAGTAGTCCTTCAGTGAGGCCCCATGTTTTGTTCCACTCCGCTCTACCAGGAGCCTGCAGGCTCTCTCAGCCTCGCCTCCGCCACGCAGGTCCACGCCGCTGGCCGGCGTGGCCTCCGCCTCATCCTGCCTTTGATGAACTATGGCTCCTCGGGCGGCGGTGTCGCGCAGTACCACAAGTGGGCGGCGCACCGCGCCGGCTCGCGCATTACTGCCGATTACGCCGCCCTTTGGAGCTCCGACGAGGGCTCCGAGTGTCCACTCTTTTACTCGGACCCGGCCAGTCAGGAGATGTACCGGTACATGGCTCACAAGGCGAGCCCCATCTTCCGCCCGCCCCACCCCCATCCCATGTGCAACGTCGCAGCACGCCACCCGCCGCCGAGTATGTGGCAAAAGTTTGTGCACGCGCGTACCGCACTCCTTGCCGTGACACTCTCGTGCTCTGCTACTGCCGCGGCGCTCCCTCTTGTGCTGAGTACCACGGCACTTCGTTTGCTTGGCAGGTGCTCACGCGTGTCAACACCTACACACGGACGGCGTATAACAACGACCCAACCATCATGCTCTGGGAGTTGGGTAACGGACTGCGCTGCCCCGGCAAGCGCTTCGGTGGCAAGCCGCTCCAGAGGTGGTACCGCCAGATGGCGCCGTTTGTGCGGCGGCTGGCGCCCAAGCAGCTGCTTGGCTCTGGGAGCGAGGGCTTTTTCCTGTGTGCGGCCGCGAGCCAGGAGCGCTCGTCACGGGGTTGCCAGGCGGGTGAAGCTTGGCGTACGACGCTCGGCATCGAGGACATTGCCAATTGGATGGATGCACAGGGTGTCGACTACATCGGCGAGAGCGCCATACCTGAGTTTGATGTGGCGACATACCAGGCAGCCGCCATCTACACCGCCCCACTCCGCTTTCCTCGACATCCACGAGGTAGGTCCTTGGCATTACTCACAAATACCGTCCCGCAACCCTCGCAGGCGCGGCTCGACGCTTGGCCACCGACGATGCTCTCGCGGCTCGGCGGCGCCCTGACGCGCGACGAGCAGCGGGACTTCCTCGATGCGTGGATCTTGGCACATGAGGCGGGATCCACGCGCAAGGCGATCCTCCTAAACGCGTTTGCCGCGGCCGAGGTGCGCTCACGGACTTAAACCTCGCCTACCCACCCTTCTCGCACTCATGTCCGTGCCCCCCGCAACTTTCCGCACAGTGTGACTGGTACAATGACCCCGAGGGCTGCAAGCAGAAGCGGCTCAGCGGCGTGCTGTCGACCGTTCAAAACCGCATCCTGCCTGACACAGCTGCCGGCGGCAAGTCAGTGGCCGCCGTCCTCTGGTCGCCCGCCGCTGACGGTGGGCCCATTGCCCATCCCTACCAAACCTACGCGCATAAGGCGTTCGAGGAGGAAATTGCCGCGTATGCAGAGCAACTGGACTCGACGCCCCTCATCCGTTCGCCCTATCCGCCCTATCCACCGCCTCAACCGCCGAGTCCACCGCCATGGGCGCCCCCGCCGCTGCCTCCGTCGCCCCCACCTTACCCGCCGCCATCCCTACCACCGTCAACGCCATGGTGGGACGTCCGCTTGCCCGGGGCGGTGCTCCGGGCGATCGACAGCGGGCTCTGCGCAGACCATGGCTGGCACGAGATTGAGAGGCAAGAGTGCAACGCGCTCGCTGATCACCTCAACAAGGCTTTTCGAGTCGAGGAGACCGACAGCGAGCACCGCGGCTGCAACAATTGGCCCGACATTGTCGAATTCAATTTGGCGGTACGCTCCTCGCCCGCTCATCTCGCCCGCCCCGCACGGGAAGCCCCCCCCCCCCCCTCTGCCCCCCTAAATCAGCCATTACCCAGCTTAGTGTGAGTCCTCGCTCGACTGCATTAGGGCGGAGAGGACCATCCGGAGCCGTGCGCTGGCGCCGGCCTGTCTTGCATCTGCTCCGTGCTTCATCCGTCGCCGCCGCCGCTGCCGCTGCCGCCCGCCCCTCCCTCACCACCGCCTCCTCCGAGCCCGCCGCCGCACCCGTCGCCACCGCCGCTTCCGCCCATCAGCCACTCGCCCCATGCGCCCAGTGTCATGCACATGCGAGGCTGGCTGCCTCCGCCACCACCGTCCCCGCCGCCGCCGATTCCCTTGCAGTGGAGTACAGCTCCGCCGGCGCCGCCGCTAATCGCACCGCCAACGCCCATGCCCATCAGAGCGGATGGCATTGTGCCCGTCGTCGGCGTTGGCGCCACTGTGGCCGTCCTGCTCGGGCTCGGCTTCTTTTGCGTGTGCGTTCGGCGCCATAAGTGGGTTGAGTCACGTGACTCTGGGCTGCTTGCGCCGCCGCTGGCCACCGTATATGCAGACCCCGAGCCAGAGCCAGAGGAGGCCAGTGCGATAGAATCGAAGTTCCTGCGGCGCGGGGACTTCGTCGAGTCCCAGCCATTCGCAAGTCCAGCGGAGGTTCTACTCAAGCACGGCATCGGCGACGACGTCTTGGTTAGGGGGTTCGCGCAGCCGGGATCACGAGGTATCGAGCTTGAGTAGTGCCAGCGACACGTGGGTTGTAGGCCGCGGGAGCTCCTCGCGCAATCCTATTCGCGCGCCGCAATCTCTGTTCTCTCGTCATTTGCGGAGGAGGAGGGGTCCTCGGGTCATGCCGTTGTTATGGACTGGTACGGTACTTTAGCAAAAGCACACGACCATATGCTCGCGCTGCGCTCTCTGCTGATGCAGTGCATGTAGCAGTGCGAGACACTCTCTCATGTCGACATGCATGTCGAGGTCAGGAGGTTGCGACCCCGCACGGCGCCTCCCCCCCCCCCCCCCCCCCGCCCTCGACCCCCTCGACCCCCGCCCCCCCAACCGTCTACTCTCTCCTTCTATCTATTCCTGCCATGTCGTCCCCCAAGGTGCCCGCCCTGCTCGTGTTCCATGTGCTCCCTTGCCCGATGCGCTTGGCGCCCGAGAGCGTCGAGATGTTGCGCGGCGCCGCCTCGGCGATCCCAAAACGCCTGTACTTAAAGTCGGTCGAAAAGAAATCGGCCACCTTGTAGTCGTCGCCAGCGCCCTCAATGGCCCCCTCGGCCTGTGCCTCGGTCGTGATCTCCTTGCCCTTGAAGGAGCTCTGCCGCCACCACAGCTCGCGGTCTGAGGAGGGGAGGGTGCGCGGGTGAGACGCAGGGCCAGTAATAAACAAAGAAGCCCTAGGGACGGTTCCGGTGAAAGCTTGGACCTTACTGGGAGCGCCGAGGACGGTGCGGAGCTTGGAGAGCTGCTAGGGGTTGAGGAGGGTAAGGAGGAGGGAGCTGAGGACGGCGCGGCAGAGGGCGTCGACGACGGTGCAGAGCTGGATGTGCTCGCTTGTGCGTTCGCCGGAATCGGTGTGGTCGTCGTGCTCGACAGCAGGTCGAGGACCACCGTCTCCGACTCAACGGGCGCAACCGAGGACACTTCGACAGTCATGTCGGGAACAGCCGCTTGGATCATACTGGCCATCTCGTCCGCCTCCGCCAGGTTGGTGCTCAGATCGTCCACGATGCTCGACGCGTGGTTGGCGTCCGCCTTGATCTCGACTTGCAAGCTTACGACCCCCTGCAGCCGGCGCAGCCGCATCGGCGCGCCAACTGTGAGCGAGACCAACTCGAGAGGGACACCTGAGCGGTTCGCAAAGGCCTGTCGCACGGCGAGCACCGTGTTGGGGTTCGACCACTCCTCGATGGAGCCCTCGACCGACACTATGACTGTGACCACCTCGACGAGAACGCTGTTGGTGGGCAGAGGCATGAAGGGCGCTGGTGGGGAGGGTGGGGGCGAGCACTCTCTTCCAGCCACAAAGTTGGTCACTTGCATCATCGTCCGAGTTGGGTCGTAGTGGCTTTCGTAGTACCGGTCGAGGCGGTAGCATGCCCTGTCGGCACGAAAGATGATCGCCTTACATTCGGCCATCTGAGCGCACCAGCTTCGGCATGCTTCAATCGAGCCGCTGTAGTCAGGGCGGTTCCCGTCCGGATTGGGACCAGGCGAGGAGCCAGCGATCGGCTCAGACCAACAGCCAGCCGGCGGGAGAGGCATGAAGGGCGCTGGTGGGGAGGGTGGGGGCGAGCACTCTCTTCCAGCCACAAAGTTGGTCACTTGCATCATCGTCCGAGTTGGGTCGTAGTGGCTTTCGTAGTACCGGTCGAGGCGGTAGCATGCCCTGTCGGCACGAAAGATGATCGCCTTACATTCGGCCATCTGAGCGCACCAGCTTCGGCATGCTTCAATCGAGCCGCTGTAGTCAGGGCGGTTCCCGTCCGGATTGGGACCAGGCGAGGAGCCAGCGATCGGCTCAGACCAACAGCCAGCCGGCGGGGGCGGTGATAGAGGCGGCGGAGTGGGTGGCAGCGGAGTGGGCGGAGGCAACGAAGGTGGCGGCGGAGTTGGCGGAGGCAACGTAGGCGATGGAGGTGGTAGAAGCGGTGGGGGAAATGGTGGTGGCACACCGGGTGGTGGCGAGAGCGGCGGCGGCGGCGGAACGGACGGTGGCGATTGCGACGGTGGAACGGGCGGAGGCGGCAATGGCGGCGGTGGCGGCGACGGCGGTGGCGGGGAAAGGAGATAAGGTGGAGTGAGGCATTCAATGCAGCCTGCGCACATGCCGTTGGCCCAGGCACACTTACTCGCCCAGGGCCTGGTGTTTTTTAGGCAATGGGCCTCGCCCCCTGGCCGTGGCGGCCGTGGCGGCTCCAGGGGTGGGGGGAAAAAAAGGGGGCCGGCGCCCCAGGTTAGGCC